CACCAAGAGCTTGTAACACTCCAAAGAGAAAGGAAAACTTGAAATCGCATCATATGACCCCTTTAATGTGCACATAAACACACACAAAACTCAAGTACATATGGAGGGAGGGGTTCTTGCAGACCGTAGAATTGACGCGTTGTTAGATTTTTGGAGAGGTGCACGTCATGCTACGGCGTATGGGTGTGCGTCTATTCGTAAGTTTAATTATAATCATTTTTAAATTATAGCATATATTACATATTATAATTTATTATAACCCTATAAGATTATAACTATCTTCTATAATATCAAAGCAATAATCTTTTTCCCCCCTAAAGATTTATCAGTCCATACCCTGCACTTTTTCTTTTCACACATAATTAAATAATGTAAATAAAAAAAGTAAAATACACTACTGTTTAAAAATTTGGGGTCATTCAGATTTAAAAAATAAATAAATAAATAAATAACTTTTTTTTTCAGTAAGGATGCATTAAACTGGTCAATAGTAACAGTAAAAACATTTAACATGTTACTTTTAGATTTCTATTTCAAATAAATGCAGTTATTTTACATGTTCTATTCATCAAGGGATCCTTTAAAAAAGTACCATGGTTTCCACAAAAATATTAAGCAACAAAAAATTTTTTTTTAAGTAAAAAATTCATTATTATAATAATTATGAATAATAATAATTATTGAGCACCAAGTCAATGAAATTGTAATATTCAGCTGAAATTAAAATATTTTACAATATTGCGTTTTTACTGTATTTTTGATCAAATAAATGTAACCTTTAAAAAAACAATCAAAAAATCTTAATGAACTCAAATGTTTGAACAGTAATGTATATTGAAAATCTTTGTTGCATCTTAATATTAAGACATTTTTTCATATGTATATATATATATATATATATATATATATATATAACCCTGCCCAAATTAAAACATTGTTTTCTTTTTTTCTTGGAAAATTAAATAAAAACTAGCTCAGCTGTATGGATAACCAATCAAAAGGCAGTTTTTTTGTATAATTATTACACATGCCCTTTTTATGACCTCAGTAATTTTGTGACATATTTGCACATTTAAAACATTTGTCACACCACAGGGCTAAATAAATAAACAAACAAACAAATAAAAACTAATTATTAAATCAAATGGTTACCAACCAGTCATGAAATCTACAAAAACACCCAGTAAACACTTACACTTGATACATTATTATACCATAACACATTAGTTACAAATTTGTCAACTATCACCTATGATATTCGTTTACATATATGAAAGCACATAAGCTCACCAGGTCCTCTGAAGATGGGTGTATCGTCACCCGATCCCTCCTCAGGGGCCGGCAGGACCACATTCCTCCTCGCCCTCTATTGAGATCCAATCACATGACAGGATTATTAATCACGCTTCTATCAGTCTGTCAGATGTGACAATTATTTATTCACCCTCGGGTGTTGTTTATGTGTTTGTATGGATTCAGCAGACTTTAAATGATTTAAACGTTCACTTTTTATGGTCCACAATAAACAAGTTTGGAACGACATTAGGATGAGTAACTGATGACAAAGTTGTCATTTTTGGTTGAACAATCCCACTTGGTAACTATTAGCTTTTAGCTCAAATGTAAGTGTTTTAGTTTATGGTGTGTGTGCTGAGGTCTTCACCTGGATCTGTGGCTCTGGTGTGACCTGCTCACCTGGAACACATTCACCTGACGACACGGAGCCAAAAACAATGACATCTGGTCTGAATAAAAGTGTGTTTTGCATTGGTTTGCGTCGTGAGGGTACCTTTGTTCTTTTTGATTACTATAGTGTCTTCACTCATTCCCTGCTCAGCCACCAGAGTCTTGAAGTCTTCGATGAGAGTGGGCCGCAGCTGCATAGCACGTCCTACACAACAAACACAAACCAGATAACCCAGACGCTCCCATTCAATTATACAAATATCATTGCTGAATGTTCTCTGAATGTTCAAAATGCCCAGTTTTTAAACCGTTTAAAACATTAAGGGAACATTCCATTTTATAATTTTGAAAAAATTATGAGAATGTTACTTTTGAATGCTCTCTGAACAATTTGAAATAAATAGTAACATTTAAAAAAATTGGATAACCATCCAACTAAAACGTTTCAGGAAAAAAACGTGTAAACCGTAAATCCGTTACCGATTCCAAATCACATGACAAAAACTGTAATTAGTAACGTAATCCATTACATCACACATTTTAGGTTATATAATCAGACTACTTTTTGATTACTTTTAGATTACTTTTGACCTAACTCATTTATCACATCGATTTAAACAGGATAAACTTGTACCATATTGATATAAATAAAAATATATTCCATTTGTTGTTATTAACATTGTGAAGTAACATTATGTCAAGGTTTCCCAAACTGGGGTTCATGAAGGAACTGCAGGAGGTTCATGAGCTTAATGCAAAGCTGATAATTAATGAAATCATAAAAAAGTAAAATTTAAATAAATTATTTTAAAATAACATGAATCAAAATAAACTGTAAAAAAGTAAATATTTTATTTGTTTACCTGCATGTCACGTGAACAGAGAACTGCAATACTTAATAATTAAAATATGTGACCCTGGACCACAAAACTAGTCATAAGGGTACATTTTTTGAAATTGAGATTTATACATCATATAAATAAGCTTTCCATTGATGTATGGATTGTTAGGATAGGACAATATTTGAAAATCTGGAATCTGAGGGTGCAAAAAAATCGAAATATTGAGAAAATCGCCTTTAAAGTTATCCAAATGAAGTTCTTAGCAATGCATATTACTAATCAAAAATTACGTTTTGATATATTTACGGTAGGAATTAGGAAATTTACAAAATATCTTCATGGAACATGATCTTTACTTAATATCCTAATGATTTTTGGCATAAAAGCAAAATCGATAATTTTGACTCATACAATGTATTTTTGGCTATTGCTACAAATATACCCGTGCTACTTATGACTTACTTACTGGTTTTGTGCTCCAGGGTCACATATTTATTTTAAATTTTGAGGTGTACTTCAAGTAAATATATTAGGTGAAAGACAAAAAAGTTGCCTGCATTATATGTAAATAAGAAACAGTGTGAAATTGTGCATTTTATGTGTGTGAAAGACAAAGTAATGCATGGTTAAATAACCAACTGAGTGATAATTCAAATAAAAATGAATGTGTTCATCAGTAGTTGATGCAATGTTGAAACGCTTCCTAAACCTGAAATGATTTTTGTAAATTCAGTGGTCAAATGCAGTGTATCCACCTGACTAATGACTGATCTCTGTGTGAATGTCCACAAAACTGGAAGACTTTCTGAGTGTATATAAGCGGGAGGCTATTTTAGAAAGGAACATTTAAAAGATGAAAAAGAGGAATTATGACGAATCAATAAATTATAAATAATTTGTTGTTTTTGTGTGAATAACATGCAATCATGTAATCAATTAAAGAGTAACTGTAGTCTGATTACAAGTAATGTAATCTAATTATAAGTACTTAATTTTTTTAATCTGATAACGTAATCCAGATTACATGTAATCAGTTACTACCCAGCTCTGATACTGTAGTATTTCTCTATACTCCCTGACATTTTTCAAATAGGCCTATACACTCTTAAAAATGAAGGTGCTTAAAAGGTTCTTCGCAGCGATACCATAGAAGAACCATTTCTGGTTCAGTCAAAGGTTCTTTAAAGAACCATCTCTTTCTTACCTTTTTGTAATCTGAAGAACCTTCTTTCGCCACAAAGAACATTTTGTGAAACAGAAAGGTTCTTCAGATGTTAAAGGTCCTTTATGGAACCATTTAGACAAAAAAAGGTTCTTCTATGGCATCGTGAAGCACCTTTATTTTTAAGAGTGCAATATTTTTAAATTTGAAAATCCCCAGAGATTTTGATTTGAGATCATGAAAGACCAGTACCAATTGTTTGTTATCCAAGAAGAAAACAGATGTTTCACCGTAGAGTTTGACAGATGTGGTTTTTTCACCACCTGGTTTTTGTTTATACATCACCACCAGAGCGAACTCATCGTAGTTTGTGTGAACCACGTAGGCGTCCACATCAGCATTCCACTCTACATGAGCAGAGACACAAACAGCAGTGAAATGACACAAGGTCGCTCTGTGATCGACAGCTGTGGCGCTGAACTCACCGGCGCTGTGGTAATGAAATCTTCCAGGGGTTTTGCTGATGTTTGTGTCTATATAGAAATATTCTACAAGTGTAATAAGTGTGACAACTAGTCCGGGTCTCCTCTATTCACAAACAGTTTCTTAAATGTCCAAAAGGCATAACTTACCCGGTTCACATCAAAGTTCTCCTGGGGCTGGAGGACGGGCTCATCGAGCAGCGGCCCAGCATGCAACAGGCCCAGGAGCGGCAGCAGAAACACCACAACAACACGCTTCATTCTGACTGTCTGTGATCCAAATGAAGTTGTGAAGAACCACGACTGTCTCTTGGCCATGTGTGCAACACCCCACCGCAAAACCAGTCCAGCAAAACAAACCGAACAAAGGTCTTCTTATCTGCCTGTTGACTCCAAACTATGTGTGCCTTGTGTTCTTGTTTGCTTTGGCTGAAATTCTGACATAATACAACATTAATATTAGCATGATTCTATGAAATATTCCAATAATATTTTCAGCATGTAAGAAGAGAAGAGTTTCATCTTCAGTTTTTTTGCTGAGTGACATTATATAATAAATGTTTTGAGTTTATAAAACAAAACAAAACAGATTTGCTCTGCAACAAGTACCATAACCTTAGAATTAGATTTTTATGTACAATTAATTACCAAACATCTGTCACAAAAAAATGGCATCCAGCGAGCGTGATTTTTCAGTCACAAACTCACAATAACCAGTTCATATTTTTCCTGTTAACACAATCTCTGAGAAAAGAGAAGAGATGTATACTGTATACTTAATTGCACATTAACTTTCATTTCTCATGCCAAACTGCAGATGTGAATAACATACACAATATGAACAGAAGAAAAGTTTTATTTTTGCCAGCAAAGATCATCAGAGACGCACGCAATGATATATACCTAGATTCAGTGTTTTATCATAAATATAACAACTATGCACAGCAAATGACAATGACATCAAGTTACAATATTACAAACTGTCACAAACAGACATCGTTTTGGCACATTAATGATGATGTGTTTCCTCCAGCTCTAAATGTGATTGGGAACTGAAAGAGAGACAAAAACAAGTAAAAAAAACAATCTTCAAAGCTGTCAAACTGAATGAATATCTTCTCGTAGTGTCACGAGGTGAGAAAACGGGGATTGACAAACTAGATATGAAGCTCTCGCTTACCTAACTTCCTGATGGAGGACAGTTTTCTAAAAAGGCTAAACAAAAATAAGACATTTTGTGAGAATTTTGCAGACAATACAACTATTTTAGACAATAAATAAACATTTAAATGAATTGTGAACAAAAGTTAATTCTTAAGCAATTATTTGTGTCCAACCATGTATACTTAAAAAAAAAAAAAAAAAAGTAAAAAAAAAAAATTCTTTTTTTTTTAAAGTATGACTGAATCCGAATTCAATACTTCCCTGTACCTTACAAGAATGCTGAAAACAGTACACCAAAGAGTAGTATGTCTGAATTCAGAGAATTTGAAAAACAGTAAAAAGTAACCCGACCAAACTGTATGCTAATTGTCAATCATCTTTGACGATAGTGGTCCTGACAGAAGTACCCGGATGACTTCCTACTTCTGCCTGGATTCTGAAGTGTGCATTCGATGGACACTTTATTATCCCATGAGGCCATAATTTAGTGATTTCAGATGCACTGATTGAGTTCGATATCAAACCAAATATATCAAATTATTAAAATCTTCTCCTCAGGTGTCCTATCAGAGTAACCAACAATCACTTCATCTATAAACATGAGCAATTCATATTTGACAACAACATAACTCTCCAAATACTTTGTGTCGTCAATTTGAACAGCATTGCTTTATCATTCGAACCCTAAAGAGCCTTTTACACATTCATTCAGTTTTAGGTTCAGCCAAAAATGAAAATTCTGTCATCATTTACTCACCCTCGTGTTGTTACAGACCTGTATGAGTAGGGCTGTAAAATCGATTAATCGCGATTTTAATCGCTTCCAAAACATTTGATTTATATTATATGTAAATATATTACATATATTTCTTAAACATACGTGTGTGTTATAAATACACATATGTGTGTGTGTATTTATATGTACATATAAATATAAACAGTACGCACACAAATATTAAGTAAAATACTTTTTTTTGGAGTTAATTAATTTTTACAGCCCTATGCATGAGTTTCTTTTTCTTCTACTGAACACAAAATACGATAATGTAAAGAATGTAAGTAACTGTCAGGAGTTTGGACCAGTCTGTGTGTTATTTTCCTCCCCATGTGCTCCGTGACCTAGTTTTCCCTTGTGTTTGATTGTGTTCATTGCTCCCAGGTGTGTCTCATTATTAGTTGATCCCATGCACCTGTGTTTCCCTTATTATCCCCTGTATTTAAGTCCATGCCTTTGCGTTCTGTTTGTCAAGTCTTAAACGTCATTCTATGTGCTCTGTGTCTCCTACGCTCCCTGTATTCCCAGTGATTGGATTATTAAAGTCTGTTTTGTTGAAGTTATTCCTACGTCTCTTCGTCTCCTCGCTCCCAGCTCCGGAGTAGTGATGCAAAGTCCGATTCATTTCCGCGAACCGGTTCTTTTCAGACAGATCGGCTCATTGAACCGATTCAAAAAGCCGATTCATCGGTTCCTGACGTCATCAAGCAATAACGTTTCCAGTACGCGCCTCAGGCTTGCACAGTATCGTCAACTCACTCATCAGAATCTTCGGTAATCCTCGGCAAACTTCACCACGGCTCATTCGGTTCTTGTTGAGTCCTCGGTAATCCGCGGCAAACTTCGACAGTTGGTTGAACCGGCTCATTCGGTTCTTTTTGAGTTGGACGTGCTACTTCGGCTGTGTGTCCTGCGTCATCAACCCAGAACTAAAGTTCGATTCAGTTCTATTTGTGAACCGGCTCAACCAGTTACTTCCTGAGAACCGGCTCAAAAGAACGATTCGTTCAAGAACCTAACATCACTACTCCGGAGTACCGTGACAGTAACGAATTTACAGTAACGATTTATATTAATCCCCATAGTATTTTTTTTACACACTATGGAAGTCAATGGCTATCGTCAACTGTTTGGTTACCAACATTCTTCAAAATATCTTCTTTTGTGTTATAATCAGAATAGAAAAATTCATACAGGTTTGGAACGACATGAGGGCGAGTCAGTGATGACACGTTTTCATTTTGGGGTGAACTGCCCCTTTAATTGTCCAGATGAAGTCAAACTTGCGGGTGTAAGTGATTTGAGTAGTTTACCAGCAGCTGGTGGAGTCAGTATGGAGTCCTTCGGGAATCCTTGAGCTGTGGCATACACTCTGAACTTCACCATCACATCTGCCCTCAACTTCTTAGTACGACCTACAGTGAAATTACAGGCACTGAGAACAATTTACAAAGTCAGAGGAACAAGAACGCCCTCCCAAATAACTTGAGTTGATAACGGTTGTTTATTGCAGACTCACCATAAAGGGCCACTTGTGTGAACTCCTTTTTAAACTTCTTGTGTTTGAGGACCAGGGCGTACTCTGTGTAGTTCGTCTCCACCACAGTAACATCCTTCACCCTTCTGTGACCTTTAAATTACAATAAAAAACTGAATGGTATCATCTCAGGCTCTGATCAGTCATAGCTGTCTTATATGTTGACTCACGAGTGCTGTAGTAGGTGAAGACGCCGGGCACAGAAGTCTTCTTATAAATGTAGACCTTAGAATGACAGCCAGAGGAACTGCATATGATCACAGGAGATGAGTGAATATAATGTAATATATTAGTGCTGTCAAACGATTAATCGCGATTAATTGCATCCCAAATAAAAGTTTTTGTTTACATAATATACATGTGTACTTTGTATATTTATTATGTATATATAAATATACCCACATACAGTATATATTTTGAAAATATGTACATGTATATATTTATATTCATATAATTTATATATACAAATATATTTAATATATAAACATAACATATTTTTCCAAAATATATACATGCATGTGTGTGTATTTATATATACATAATAAATATAAACAGTACACACACATATATTATGTGCATAAAAACTTTTATTTTGGATGCGATTAACCGTTTGACAGCACTAAATATAATATAATATAATATAATATAATATAATATAATAATACAGTTATTTTAGAAACTATTCTTAACTGTTTTAATGAAAACAAATGACACAAGAATCATCATGAATAATATAATATAATAGTTATTTTAGAAACTATTCTTTTAACTGTCAAATGAGAAGAATCATCACATATTGTGTGAATATAATACAATATATAATATAATATAAACTAATATAATATGTTATTTTAGAAACTATTCTTAGTTAACGAACACAATTGACAAGAATCATCACACAGTGTGTGAATATAATATAATACAATATATAATATAATAATAGTTATTTTAGAAACTATTCTTAACTGTTTTAATGAAAACAAATGACACAAGAATCATCATGAATAATATAATATAATAGTTATTTTAGAAACTATTCTTTTAACTGTCAAATGAGAAGAATCATCACATATTGTGTGAATATAATACAATATATAATATAATATAAACTAATATAATATGTTATTTTAGAAACTATTCTTAGTTAACGAACACAACTGACAAGAATCATCACACAGTGTGTGAATATAATATAATATAATAATATATAACAATTTTAAGATGGCAATAATAATATTTTTGGAACTATTCTAACTTCATTATGAATTAAAACTAAAACTAAATAATTTTCTGAAATGTTTCTCAGTATTAACAGAGAGTTCAAAGTGCTGTTGTTCTAAGTATACAATTCTCAACTTGTTGTATGTAAAAGAACTTGTGCAATAGTATTATAGATATTATATTATGTTTTACTGTATTATATACAAATATTTTCCCTCTGAAAACAATCAAAATGGGTGTCCTTCACCTTAAACTCCACATGGTCATGTTTACGTTCCCGTTCTCCTTCGGCTCCACTGTGCCCATAGAGATGGGGAGTTTGCTTCTATGCTGCACAAAACCTGGGGAATCATAGGCCAGACCGACCCGATACCACCTCCCTGCAAACTGAACAAACACAATCCAGCTCACAGCACACATACAGTGGGTACGGAAAGTATTCAGACCCACTTAAATTTTTCACTCTTTGTTATATTGCAGCCATTTGCTAAAATAATTTAAGTTAATTTTTTTTCCTCATCAATGTACACACAGCACCCCATATTGACAGAAAAACACAGAATTGTTGACATTTTTACAGATTGCAAATGGCTGCAATATAACAAAGAGTGAAAAATTTAA